TCAACAGACAGGACTCCTATAGGCAGCCACCCGATCATATTAAGGTTCATGAAAGGGATCTATAAGCAAACACCACCAGCCCGTTGGTATCAGACCACTTGGGTTGTACAGCCAGTTTTGTCATACCTTTCAGAATTGGGCCCTACAGAAAACTTAGATCTCAAGTCCCTAACTTTGAAAGTAGCCTTGTCAGTTGCCCTAGTCTCAGCACAGAGAGGCCAAACTCTCCACATGCTTAACATTGCTTTTATGAAGGATTCCCTTTACAAGTATTGAGTGTGCATTGCCTGCTCACATCAAACAGAGTAGCCCTGGCTATAATCCACCACCAGTTATCCTGCAAGCATACCCTGATGACAAATCCCCTTGTGCCTTTACATGCCTGAAGGAGTACCAAGCGGACACAACCCCTCAGAGGAACAGAAAAGAAGTTATTTATTACCTTCACCAAGCCACACAGAGCTATCTCTTGTCCTTTGCTGGTATTGACACTGCATCATTCAAACGACAGCGCCAGGTCTGCTGCCACCTCTAGAGCCTAATCAGCATGTGTGCCAATGGATGAGATCTTAAAGACAGCAGGCTGGTCTTCTACCAGATCATTTGATCGTTTCTATGACAAACCTGTATCTTTTGCTTCGGCAGTCCTTTATACTGAGTTAACTTTGGTAGAGTTTATTTTGGCCATTGGATTTTTCGACCACTTATACTTGGGTGCTTTGCTTAGAGAAGGTTGTACTAAAGACGTTTTCTTATATATATATCTCACTTTAATTTAACTTGTAGCAACCTATTGTAGTCTTTTATGTTGCAATATTTGCCTAGCTGCTGTTTATGAGGGGACACTGTTATACTCAAGTTGAATGCTAAGTTGCTGGTAAAAAAATTGCAGCAGCTAAAACTAGTTGCTATTACTTACTTATTGTTACACCTGCTCAGTTGCATTCAAAACATTTATTACCATATAGCTTTATGGGGTTTCCAGAGCAGTAAATTATTGAGGTTTGTTTGTTCCTCATGTGACAGTCTTAGCTTTAAAATCTTATGGGGTCCCTTTGCAGTGATGACGAGATAACATTAAGAGATAAACGAGACTTACCTGTAAGTTGAACTTTGATCGGAATTCTATCGAGTCGTCCAGGGCTGTCGTTAGCCGGCTTTATTTATTTACAGGTTTCTCTAGTAAAATCAACCGGCTACTCGAAGTTTCTAATTAAATCAAACATTACAAGCATAGAAGAATTTAAGGGATAAATGGCTGGTTACTTTTCGCAATAGACCTGATACTTGAAACCTTAATGACATACCTGGTCATCAAACTGCACCAAGGGATCACATTTGTGATTCCTTGGTGCAGTTTTATGACTCGATAGAATTCCGATCAAACTTCAACTTCGAGGTAAGTCTCGTTTAATGTCTCAATTTTCAACATCACCACTGCACTGCATGCTGGGAAATAGCCAGAATTCTTGACAGCATTCGCTCCTTCCCCCTCTTTTCTAAATTCCACAGCCACGGATATTTCGCGCTTGTGATTTTCAGTGGTTGCAAATTCCAAAATATGCCGTGGTAAGTCAAGAAATTCATCAGCAGTCGAGTGCCAAGATACTTCGTTTCGGAGCGGCCATTTTTTCAGTTCCCGAAGCAACAAGCCAAATTCGCTAAGGAAGTATATCACCTTACTTGCTTCTTCGAGAAAGTGGACTCTTAGCTACCGTCTTGCTTAATGATGCTCATCAGGCAGCTACTAAAGATGAAAAATGGCTGTAAACTTACCAAAAATGGCATACAACCCAAACTCCAGCTGTTATCATATCTCAACGAAGTAAAATGACTCCGTCAGAATGACGTTTCCAGACAACTCGAGCCTTCATTGCTTCAGAACAGCACCACCTTCCATGGAAACCCCAAATACAGTCACCAAATCATATCGACTGTTTGTATGTAGAAAAGCAATCGAAAACGTAAAAAGTGCCGCGTGTCAATGGGTTAAAATAGATATAGAAAAGTAATGTTCCAAAGACCAAAATGTCGATTACTGCATCAGTTTATACAACGTTCGCTTTCAGAACTGCAGAAATTTCTTTCCTTTTAAGTGAGATATAGCTGTCAAGGGTTGTCTGCTACAGCGAGATGTCACGTATTTTTGCTAAGCAATTTGGTGACTTGTTAAGGTTGGACGAGTTCTTCGTTCATCGACGGGCCATACGAATCAAATTACAAAGTCGCCTTTGTAGAGAGGTGGCTATAGTGGAGGTTCGGCTAATATTTAATTTCAAGATAGCTTTGCTCGTTAGAAAATAATCAGTTAAAACATCACCAGAGAGCTCTTTTCTTTAGCTTACATTTCAGAGGCTTCTTAAGTTTAGTTTTCTTTTTGGTAGCTAAAGTGCTTTCACACTGAAGATTGTGATCTGCAGCTGGATGCTTGTTGTAGTGACAGTCAACAGTTAACAAAAAAGGCGTTTTTACTACATTTTGAAGAGACTTATAATTTTGT